AAACTTCTTTTGTTACTTTGTAAGAATTGCCACTGAAATTTGTCCTATCAATGAGATGTATATATGTTTTGACTGTCACATCTTAAGAATATCAGTATTGTAAATTCTTGGGGCGTGACATAAGGGTATCATCTGCATATTGAAGATGGGAAATAATAAGATCAAAATTAGCCACAGCAAACCCATAAAAATGGTCAGCCCTTTCAACATTATTTTAACATCAAGCTAAAACACTCAGCGTAAATAGTAAAAAAGAACCGGGATAGAGGGTCCCCTTGACGAAGACCTCTAGATGCCTAGAAGAAATCAATAGGGCTACCTTTAAACAACATGAAAAAATGAGCAGAGGACAGACATCAAAAAATCCAACTACACCACCTGTCTCCAAACCCCATACATTTCAAATCTCGAATAAAATCCGTCATTCCACACGATCATAGGCCTTCTCCATATCTAACTTCAACAAAATACCAGGCTTCCGATTGAGCACTCTAGAATGGATGCATTCTTGAGCAATAAGAATACTATATGTAATCTGTCTGTCTTTGATAAAGGCCGATTGGTTTGCCGATATCACCAAAGATAAGACAGTTTTGAGTCGCTCAGCTAAAACCTTCGCCAAAATCTTATAGAGACTGGTAAGAAGACAAATAGGGCGAATATCAGAAAGACACGAAATGACAGCCTTCTTTGGGATTAGCGTCAAAAAAATGGATTTCACCCCTTTGAAAATGTCACTCTTAATCATAAAGCCCCGAACAAACTCCAGAAGCTCCAACTTTACCAGATCCCAAAACTTATGAAAAAACGAGAGAAGGAAGCCATATGGACCAAGGGCTTTATCTCCCGGTATAGAAAAAACCATCTTCTTTAACTATTCCAACGAAATGTCACGTTCCAAATAAATTCTTAAACGTCTGGAAGAGTTTTAAAAGGCACTCTATTAAAGGAGGGGATAAAGTTAACTTCTTTGGAAAAGGCTCGCTTAAAATGGCTGCGGACAGCTCCTTTCATAGCATTATCATCATCCACATCTATCCTCAAGGATAGATAAACTCGAGATATCATTCTGCCTTTTCCTGACACTTGCAATAACATGGAAATACTTCGTGTTAAGATCCCCTTCTTTCAACCACTTTGAACGTGACCTTTGGTGCCTATAGATCTCATCTGACCTTAGAAGTTCCTCTAGTTCTTTTACCTTTTGACACCTAAGAACCACAATCTGCTCAGACAACACTCCATTGTCTTGAACGTTAAGATCAAATATCTCTAAATTAGCGAGAGCAAAATCGATCTTTCTCCTAATGTCCACCCTATTTTCCTTCTTCCAAACCAACAATTTGTGTTTGACATTTAAGAGTTTTTTGTGCAATTGGTAATCGACAGTACCTTCCTCAATAGTATTAATCCATGTACCCTTTATCAACTCCACTACCTCTTTTTCAAGCAACCAACAAGCCTCCATACGGAAAGGCTTCAGACCACTTTCTAACCGACTAAAGGTCAACAAAATTGGGCAATGGTCTGAAGGTACCCTAGGCAGAGCTTTGACATAGGTCAAAGGGTAGACTTCCGCCCACTCCGGTGAAACCAAAAACTTGTCTAATTTGGACATGGCCAAATTAGAGAGACTGTTATTTGACCAAGTAAATTTGGCACCTAAAATAGGCAGATCCATCAAAGAGTTATCAACAATGTAACCATTAAACATTCTCATAGTGGAATTGATAGGAGGGGCTGATAAGCTTTCGTCTGGCCAACGAATAAGGTTGAAATCTCCTCTAATAACCACAAGAAAAGAAAAAGAACGAATTACAACATTCAATTCGTTAATAAAAGGTTCTTTCAAAGCAGCCAAGCAATGACCATAAACATTTAACAACCCCCAAGAAAACCTCGCTAAATATCCCTGAAAATCCAACAAAATAAAGTGATCCCTTGCAATGATACCAAATTAACCAAAACAAGAGGGTCCTACAGAACCCACAACCCACCTGATGCTCCCACCACATTTATACCACAAAAACCAACAGCAGAATGACCCCAAACCTATCTGGCCCCGATAACACTAGGACTAGGGAGCTTAGTCTCTTGCAAAACAAGAACTACTGGATTGTATTTGAAAACCAAAAATTTGACATCCCTCTTCCTATTTAGATGTCCTAAACCCCTAACATTCCATGACAAGAAATTCATTAAAAATGGGGGTTAAAAGAAAAGGAGGCAGAACCTGGTCCATGAAGGCCTCCCTGAGCACCAACCTTGTTGGGGAAGACCACACCTGAGTCATCAACCGACAAGCTAAGGGAGGTGGAATCCTCCGAGGGTTTAGATGGGTCACGAAATGCCAACGACCTGGAACTAAGATCCTGCGCCGATCACGAGCTCTAATTCTCACTGAAGAATGTGTACCTGTCCTCGGCTCCATCATCTTCTTCCCTGTTTTCTCTTTCAGGGACCTTGAGGAAACTGAATTCCTATTCACCGTTGTATCGAACACATTTGGAGTCACCCAAAAATCTATTGGCAACTTCCCACTAATCATATCTCTTTGAACTGCAAGACATGATCTTCTGCGAGCCTTAACCTCCTCCATAACCACTGATAAAGGAACGCCTTCCATCCCCATGTCTTCCACCAATTTAGCAATCATGGAATCTTCCACCTGCAAAGAGGCATCCTCCGCCAACTGGGGAACCGTCTTTGACAGTGAAAATTTTAAAGACTCATCGACCTTCGAAGATCCACCATCTGCCGTCACCAAGTTTGTGGCAACCAACAACCGTGGTGCGCATAGGATTATCATTGAAAGTGGTTGAGGCTCCATGACATTCTCATCTTCAACAGAATTTTCACATGTGACCAAGGCTCCCACAGACGAATCAGCCACAACAGGGGGAAAGGCTGTGGCGCTATCTCTCCCACAAACGAATCAACAACAACAGGGAGAATAGGTAGAGATGCCAACTCTCCCACAACTTCATCATCTTCAATCACTACTAAAGCCAGCAGATCAATCTGTAACGGGTCAAACCTCGTTCTCGAGTCACACAAACCTCTAAGCACTGCAACACGAGTAGGAAGGGGATACATCTTGAACTGAAGAACCACCACCAGAAGGAAAATATGGACCAAGGACCCACCCCCACGACAATGCTTTGTACTAGAAAGAACTAGAAGCAGGAAAGCCACCATCGCAAAAACCTTGGGCAAGGATTTCTCAGAAGGCAGATCAGCAAGAAACGACATGTTGCTTCTTTCGCCTGACATACTTCCCTATTAAATATAGCGCATATACATATGAATGCTATGTGAACTTCCTTACAACATAAACGTGTAAGGACTTCTTTTAACATTTAATTTTGGGAAATTTGTACAAATGCCAATCAGAGTTTAACTATTTAAAATTATGATGTAATTTCAAAATGGGATTGTCTACAAAGAGACCATTTATTTTTTGTATATGGAGGTCATAATTATTCACACTCATTAGATGTCACATTGGATGGTTTGGGGTGAGTCATGAAGTTTGAAAAAATATTTTTTTATTGGAACTTTGTATATATTCAATGACACTCTTACAACCACCAATTTTCAAATTTAAGAGACAAAAATGATTGTACAAAAGATAAAGGGTGCAGTTGGCATACAGATGCATATGTAGCTGTAGAGGTAAGGTGCACCTTCAAATTTTATGATGGTATCAAATTTTGATGTACAATGTTCTTAGGATTATCTCAAAATCTATTTTTATATCTAATTATAAAATTTTAAGTTTAAAGAATAGTTAAAATTAAGTAGATCTATAATCATATAAAAATCTTGAAAATGGACGATGTAAATAATATGTTGTAAAATGCACTATTTTTTAGACTTAAAAATATTTTTATTTTTCGTGGTCATACATATAGATATCGAGACGATCAATCAAAGGGTTTTTCAACATTAAAACTACCTTGTTCGATAGATTTTTGACGTGCATCCGTAGTTTTACATATAAAGTTGCAACCTTATATAAACTTTTTTCAACGATAAAAGGCATTGTTATAGACAATCCCATTTAGTAATTATTAAGTAACTCCCAAAATTTTAAATTGAAAAAATCCTCCTAGGTTTTCTTGGCCTTGGGAGTAAAAACAAACTATGCTACTGAGCGAACATCATATGCATGCTTTTCGAGTTATTCTTAAAAGTGAACAAGGGCATACTCGGAATTATTTATCTTCGCACGCTCGAAAATGCTATACGTGCAAAGAGGGGGTTTCCGCATGGTATATGAAATTAGGGTTTTGGGATTCACCACTTCAGTTTCACCAGCAGCCGCGTGGGAAGCAGAAGGCCAGAAGCTCAACCCAAAATGGTACCCCTCTCTCTCTCTCTCTCTCTCTCTCTCTCTCTCTCTCTCTCTCTCTCTCTCTAAAATATCTCTCTCTGAAAACGGAGCCATGTGACCATCTCATACCTCTTCTCTCTCTCTCTAGAACGGAGCTATGGAAATATCCTATGCTTCTCTCTCTCTAAAATGGGGCTATGTACCATTTGTCTCTCTCTCTCTCTAAAATGGGGCTATGGTACTTTCGATGCCTCTCTATCTATCTATCTAAAACAGTGTGTTGAACATCTTATGCCTCTCTCTCGCTCTAAAATAAGGCTCTATGGACTTCCTATGCCTCTCTGCATCGATCTGAAAATGGAGCTATATGATTTTCTCTAGGTTTCAGCAGTTCTGCTTTGATACTCACCCCTGTAATTTTTGGGATTTAAGCTTCTGATTCCAGTATTTTTGAAGTTTTATATGACTTTTTATTTGGGGACTGGGGTTTTTATTTTTTTCCATATAGGGTTAAGGTTTAGCTCGTAATTATTTATTGTAACTGTGGTTTATAAATATAGACTTGTATTTAAAATCTCTTGCATGCTCTGTTTTGTTTTCAGCATAGACATTGGTATTCTTTTAATCTGTTTCTCTACTTCTACGCCTGGCTTATGACTTGTTTTTATCAATTTTTCTCTATATTGTAGCCTTCCCATAAGACTTTCATGATCAAGAAGAAGCTTGCCAAGAAGATGAGGCAAAACAGGCCCATTCCGCATTGGATCAGGATGAGGACTGACAATACTATAAGGCAAGCTTATGTTTCCCCTCACTTCCAGCTGTTTTATTGTATTTTATTAGCTTTAGTCGCTTTCAGTGAAATATATTTTTTTGGTTATAACTAAGTAAGTTAATGACAAAGATGATTAAAGCTTTGTGATCCATGTTATCGAGTAGTTGGAATGTTGCAGACAAGAAAGTTGTCTAGTTTGGACTTTGATTCTACTCTTCTAAAAGTAACATCAGTTCTCACAATTCGTCTCCATCTTCCAAAACTACTGGAAATGTTTCAAAAAAAGTATCCAATGCATGTGCCATTTCGTGTATTGCCTGATAATAGGCATTTATAGTCTCCTTTTCCTTGTGTTGGAGACCTAGCCCATCTAGAGTATTTTTGGATTGGATTATATCACCCCTTCTTATTTTATTCTTGCGGCATTATATCCTTGCTCTTTTTTTTTTCTCTTGTACTTTATTTTCTGTTATGAATCAAAGTGAGCTCTACCTATAGAAAAACTAGATGTTTCAATCGTGTATTGGAAAACTAAAAAATAAATATCAAACATATTAACATATATCATGAACCCATGATCTGTTCCCATACAGCTGACAGTGGGTGAGATGTCATTTATTTATTTGTATTTTATATTGATAATAGATAGCATTTTTAGTGCATTTGTCCTGCAAACCTTGTTCAATATACATACATGCATGCATGCATGCATATACACACACATACGTGTGTGTAAGCACATGACGTTTGATTTTGGTGGTTAGTTAACATAGTTTTTCTTTGTTTTTCATTATGCATTAGTGGAGTGGATGTGGAGAACTCAAGTTATAAAATTAGTAAGTAAATATTAAAATGGAGGAATGCTTGGGTAGGAGAACTGTCGACCAACTAAAAAGCAACTTTGTAAATTAATTTTGAATTATTACCAACACTTGCAATTGTTGGATTCTATCCAACTTACAGATAAGGAGGAGGTTCAGTGAGGTCTGCAAAAAAGCAGCTGTCTCTGAGGCCCCTTAAACCGTCTATTACCTTAATAATGAACTATGTTTTCCTTCAACACTTCTCAAATAAAATGTATCTTTCTTAAGCAAGCTGTCCACTAGGACATGTTATTGATGGTGTTAATGATGTGGATACTGTCCATTGGAACCTGGGATGCAAAGAGATCTCCCCCTTTCGTTACCTTGTGTCTACAACATGGTTTGATTCGACCATGATTTGCTTGATAATATTCAAAGAGTAAAGGCCCAATTTTGTGTTGAAACCATCAAATGTTTCAAGTTTTAATGAAGTATACAAGTAACTTACCCAGCCAGATCGTAGTTGAGGAGGGCATACTAGTTGTTGGGAAGACAATTTGAAACTTGAGGCATGTGAATGAGGCTTAGGGAAAGAAATCGAAATTGGACTTTGATATTTGGGATATACAGTAGACTCCAATGAAAAAAATCAATGAAAAAGGCTGCAAGTGTTTCCGATATATTATATTGAAGTTGGGATGCAAATAAACGGTCCTTTAAATTTTGAATCTTTTTTTGATAAAGTTATTACATCAGTTCACTTTTGCAGTGCTTCAAAAATTGCCTGTCCAACTCGGGCCTGAGTTGGAATATATTGGTAGGCTGGTGATTCTAGGACAAAAAACTTCGGAATTGTTGAGTCTCCAATTTTTTAGTATCCGTAATGTTTTGTTAAATATAGCCTTGCCTGACTTTGGAGTCGCCCATGTTGGGCCGTGCAAATTGGAATAGGACTCTTCACATTTAAAGCTTGATGCACTATTTTTTAAACATTGGATTGTACTTTTGCTTATTAGGCAACATGCCAATTAATTTACATGTTAGTGGAGCACTGGTTTGTGAAATAATTCTTTTAGTTAAAATTAAATGGATGGCTACAATCTGCCTTCTTTATGTGGAAACCTATCTCCGTCCTTGCCCACTTGGGTGGGATTTATGTTATTGCCATCCTAGCCCATTGGTACGACAGGATTGTACACTTCCGTGCCGTCTGTTATGCAATCTATAGTGAATAAAACCGTGTTGCAAGCCAAAGATTTGCATTTATAAAAGAAATTTATTAAAAGAACAAATAGGATATTGTTTTAAACTTTGGAGGGGCATTTGAAAGCTTTCTTGTTATGTAGCCAGCCCCAAATAATTGGGAAAAGGCTTTGATGATGATGATGATGATGATGATACTTGAAGTTCGGGTGAGGTTTGTAAAAGGCGCCCCCCTTATACTGTAAATGTAAGGCACGTGTCTAAAATTTGCTTGGAGGTGTAGTTTTGGTGTTGGAATCCTTAGGGGCCGGAAAATCTATTTTTATCCCTAGCTATTAAATTTAAAAATTAGAAAAATTTAACGGATCAACCAGATCAATAAATACTTGAAAATCTTGAAAATAGATGGTGTAGATAATTTGTTGTATGATGCATTATTTTTTAGGAATTGACAATTTGTTTTTTCTATATATCCTTACATCTCGACGCTGAGATGATTGATTGGAGGGTTCACCTGAGATGATTGGAGGGTTCACCTTGAATGGTATAAGGTTGCAACCCTGTAAAAACTGAGGCTGAATCTATTTTTTATTGGTTTTTTTTATTTTTTCCTTTTTACTTCAATTCATTTAATTGGTATCAAAAGATTGTGCATTGAATGGCTCCATCTCTGAGTCAACAGTGGTGTGCTCATCTCAATGGCACGCTGTCTGCCGCTTGGAGCCTAAAGAAGACCCTAGCCAGTCCAAAGATTGCTTGAAATCTTCTTTTTTGATTTTGGGCCACAATAGCTGGCAACACTTGACCTTTTTTTCACTTTCAATAACAAACATTTGGTACAACAGGATTGTACACTTCCGCGCCTTCTATTATGCAATCTATAGTGAATAAAACCATGTTGCAAGCCAAAGATTTGCATTTATAAAAGAAATTTATTAAAAGAACAAATAGGATATTGTTTTAAACTTTGGAGTGGCATTAGAAAGCGTTCTTGTTATGCAGCCAGCCCCAAATAATTGGGAAAAGGCTTTGATGATGATACTTGAAGTTCGCGTGAGGTTTGTAAAAGGTGCCCCCCTTATACTGTAAATGTAAGGCGCACCTCTAAAATTTGGTTGGAGGTGTAGTTTTGGAGTTGGAATCCTTATGGGCTGGAAAATCTATTTTTATCCCTAGTTATTAAATTTTAAAATTAAAAAAATTTAATGGATCAAGCAGATCAATAAATACTTGAAAATCTTGAAAATAGATGGTGCAAATAATTTGTTATATGACGCATTATTTTTAGGAATTGAAATTTTGTTTTTTCTATATATCCTTACATCTCGAGGCTGAGATGATTGATTGGAGGGTTCACCAATGTCAGAATATTCTCCTCTAGAGGATTTTTGAGGTGCACCTTAAAAAAGAAAGTATTCTCTTCTAGAGGATTTTGAGGTACACCTTACTTGAACGGTATAAGGTGGCAACCCTGTAAAAACTTTGAGGCTGAATCCATTTTTTATTGGTTTTTTGGATTTTTCCCCTTTTACTTCAATTCATTTAATTGGTATCAAGAGATTGTGCATTGAATGTCTCCATCTCTGAGTCAACAGTGGTGTGCTCATCTCAATGGCACACTGTCGGCCGCTTGGAGCCTAAAGAAGACCCTAGCCAGTCCGAAGATTGCTTGAAATCTTCTTTTTTGATTTTGGGCCACAATAGCTGCCAACACTTGGCCTTTTTTCACTTTCAATAACAAACATTTGGTACGACAGGATTGTACACTTCCGCGCCTTCCGTTACCCATTCTATAGTGAATAAAACCATGTTGCAAGCCAAAGATTTGCATTTATAAAAGAAATTTATTAAAAGAACAAATAAGATATTGTTTTAAACTTTGGAGTGGCATTAGAAAGCGTTCTTGTTATACAGCCAGCCCCGAATAATTGGGAAAAGGCTTTAATGATGATACTTGAAGTTCGGGTGAGGTTTGTAAAAGGTGCCCCCCCTTATACGGTAAATGTAAGGCGCACCTCTAAAATTTGCTTGGAGGTGTAGTTTTGGTGTTGGAATCCTTATGAGCCGGAAAATCTATTTTTATCCCTAGTTATTAAATTTAAAAATTAAAAAGTTTAACGGATCAAGCAAATCAATAAATACTTGAAAATCTTGAGAATAGATGGTGCCAGCCCCAAATAATTGGAAAAAAGCTTTGATGATGATGATGATGATACTTGAAGTTCGGGTGAGGTTTGTAAAAGGTGTCCCCCCTTATACTGTAAATGCGCACCTCTAAAATTTGCTTGGAGGTGTAGTTTTGGTGTTGGAATCCATATGAGCCGGAAAATCTATTTTTATCCCTAGTTATTAAATTTAAAAATTAAATAGTTTAACGGATCAAGCAAATCAATAAATACTTGAAAATCTTGAGAATAGATGGTGCAGATAATTTGTTATATGATGCATTATTTTTAGGAATTGAAAATTTGTTTTTTCTATATATTCTTACATCTCGATGCTGAAATGATTGATCGGAGGGTTCACCAATGTCAGAATATTCTCCTCTAGGGGATTTTTGAGGTGCACCTTTAAAAAAAAAGTACTCTCATCTAAAGGATTTTGAGGTATACCTTACTTGAATGGTATAAGGTTGCAACCCTGTAAAAACTTTGAGGCTAAATCTATTTTTTATTGGTTTTTTGGATTTTTTCCTTTTAACTTCAATTCATTTAATTGGGTATCAAGAGATTGTGTATCGAATGGCTCCATCTCTGAGTCAACAGTGGTGTGCTCATCTCAATGGCACGCTGTCTGCCGCTTGGAGCCTAAAGAAGACCCTAGCCAGTCCGAAGATTGCTTGAAATCTTCTTTTTTGATTTTGGGCCACAATAGCTGGCAACACTTGACCTTTTTTTTCACTTTCAATAACAAAAAAATTTACGCTTGGCATTGCTCTAGTGCAAGGTCAGTATTGGATGAAAGTGTCCGTTTTTGGTTTATTCATGTTCTAACTAATGAATTCTGTTTTGCTTATTATATATCTAAATCAACATGACTGCATATAGCTCTTCGTTGACTGAATAAAAGAGAACAGATATCCCAAAAGGACATGACTGATGAAAGAATAGATTGCCCAAAGATTTTCAAGTGGAAGACTCAAAAAGGGCAAAGGGAAGGCCCAAAAGCATATGATTGGATGTAGTGAGAAAAGATATGGGGACTTGTGGCCTCACGTATGGTATAGCCCTTGATAGAGGAGAATGGTGGATCAAGATTCATGTAGCCGACTCCAAATAGTTGAAAAAAAGCTTTCGTGATGATGATGATGATACTTGAAGTTCGGGTGAGGTTTGTAGAAGGCGGCCGCCTTATACTGTAGAAGTAAGGCGCACCTCTAAAAATATATTTTTATACATAGTTATGAAATTTAAAATTTCAAAAATGTTACGGATGATTCAGATATATAAACACTTGAAAATCATGAAAATAGATGGTGCAGATAACTTGTTACAAGACGCATTATATTTAGGAATTGAAATTTTGTTTATTCTATATATTCTTACTTCTTGAGGCTGAGATGATCAATTGGAGGGTTCACAAATGTCAGCGTATTCTCCTCAAGAGGATTTTTTAGGTGCACCTAAAAAAAAAATAATACTCTCTTCTAGAGGATTTTGAGGTGCGCCTTACTTGAATAGTACAAGGTTGCAACCCTATATAAACTTTGAGGCTTAATCTATTTTTTATTGGTTTTTTGGATTTTTCCCTTTTACTTCGATTCATTTAATTGGTATCATGAGATTGTGTATTGATGACTCCATCTCTGAGTCAACAGTGGTGTGCTCATCTCAATGGTGCGCTGTCTGGTGCTTGGAGTCTAAAGAAAATCCTAGCCAGTCCGAAGATTGCTTGAAATCTTCTTTTTTGATTTTGGGCCACAATAACTGGCAACACTTTGAGGATTTTGAGGTGCGACTTAAAAAAAATATTTACTCTCTTCTAGAGGATTTTGAAGTGCACCTTACTTGAAGTAAGGTTGCAACCCTATATAAACTTTGAGGCTTAATCTATTTTTTATTGGTGTTTTGGATTTTTCCCTTTATTTTGATTTATTTAATTGGTATCAGGAGATTGTGTATTGATGGCTCCATCTATGAGTCAACGGTGGTGTGCTCATCTCAATGGCACCCTATCTGTTGCTTGGAGCCTAAAGAAAGCCCTAGCCAGTCCGAAGATTGCTTGAAATCTTCTATTTTGATTTTGGGCCACAATAGCTGGCAACACTTGACCTTTTTTTACACTTTCCATAAAATATTTTTTGTGCGTGGCATTGTTCAAGGTCAGTATTAGATGAAAATGTGCATTTTGGTTTATTCATGTTCTAACTAATGAATTCATTTTTGCTTTTTGTTTATCTAAATTTTCATGATTGCATATAACTCTGCATTGACTGAATAAAAGAGAACAGGTTTCCGTGGATCGAGTTTGTATGTGCTTTGAAGTTTTGTTTGTCTTGACTTGAATTTCCTACGGCTTTGGACCTTATGGCCAAGCCTGTGAATGGATTTACTTGGGTGACTTCCAACAACAGTAGTAGAACAATTTCTGTCATTGCATACTAATCCTATTAGTTTCTACTGTTGCTACAATCTTCGTCAGTTTTTGTAGTTGATTTTTGCCTTTACCTTATATTCTAGAACCCAATTGAGGACAAAAGCTGAATTTGGAGTTCGCATTTGAGGCCTTTTGTGCTTATGTTTCCTTTATATGAGTTGGTGGTGTCATTCCATGATATCTCAGATGTAATTTGGAAGTTCAACCTTGGTTTCTGAATCCAACATTTACCTTCTTGTTTGATGTTAGTGAATTTGTTGGCTCTTGTAACAGGTACAATGCTAAACGCAGGCACTGGCGCAGAACAAAGCTTGGATTTTGAGAGTGAATTTGGGTTTCATTGTTGATGCTTGTGTCCAATATTTTCACTCATGAGACACCATTATGTATCTTTTTATTTGGTTGAGGATTTCATGATGCAACTGCAATATTATGGCAGCTTTGGATTCTGGTCATTTTCTGTTGGGAATTGTCAAGAACCATATCAGGATTTTTGTTAGAAAAATTCTCGAGTAATTGCAGAAATTTCCATGCTAGTTACAACTTACAAGTAAATAGACTTTCGGAGCTTTGGGCCATATTTGACACAGATCAAGACTAGAAAGTTTTGAATGAATGTTAAGCTTCAATTGTGTTCTCTATTCTTTCTGATTGTTTTGATACCCAGGATTAAATTAATATATATTTTAGAGCACGGTTACTATGGGTTTCCCTGAAAATTGGAGTCACAAAACTAGTTCTAGGTCTAGGTTGGAGTTTTACCCCAGAAAGTAAATAAACATTTTGCTCCCAGGCAAGTAGAATATCTTTTAGCTATATTTTTATGGAGAACCAAAAAATAATATATTTTATAGGTTTAACAAAAAAACGAGCTTCAATATATAGTATATACCAATGGTTTAAAAAGTGAACCGGTGACTCGGATTGGGCACCTTCAAAATCGATTTGGATCGGTGAATTGGCGATCTGGATCGGGACTAGGGTGAATCGGTCAGAATAAAGCTTTAAAAAAATTTGAAAAAATTATTAAAATTTATTATAAATATTGTTTTTTAAGAATTCAATAAAAAATGGGGGTATTTCATTAAAAATTTTCATTTCTTTGCATGAATATGCGAATATTGATATGTTCTTTCTCTGCATGAATTACTATTTATCATTTAATTTACATCACACAGAAAGATAAACATAGAATTATCATGGAATAAGTATATCAACATATATGGATTATAATAAAGCATACAATTAGTAACATACGATCTAAAAATAAAATGACAGATGATGTTCTTTTTCTTCTTGGTCAAGCTGATGTCATTGAATGAATTCGTTTGACAATTCATTGATTCGATCTAAAAACGAATCATCGATATTAGTAGGCGTCTGACTATATCCAAATCCCTGAGTATTAGTGTTCTGTTGTCCCAATCCAAAGTCCTTGAAGCTTGTTCATCTTTCAAGCTCATCTACACTGTCAAGTTCATTCCTACCCTGTTGCTGTTGGGACTCGATATGTGAATAATATGGTTGGGATAGGGTGGTCTCGGAATCATCTATCTCATTTTCCCTTAGATCCTTTTCCCACTCTCCTTCATTAGGTGCAATATCATCGACATCTTCGACGAATTGTGGATACGTTGGTTGACTGCTTCCTCTTTTATGCTGCTAATCACCTTTTTCAAGATCTTCTTTACCGATAGCCTCAATGAACGCTCTTTTGTGCAATACTGGCTCCTCCTCTTCTACTACCCATTGCTCTGTTGTGTCTGTGACAAATATTGTGTCTAAGTCTATCGACTCATAGTCTTCAAGTTTCCTTCTTATTTGTCGCTCTCGGAGGTTTAAGTTGTAATGAATGTAGACTAGTTTATGAAGCTTCTCCGAAGTGAGTCGATTTCTTCTAATAGTGTGCAATCATTGGAACGTACTCCAGTTGCTCTCACAGTCAGTAGCAGAACATGTATGGGAGAGCACCGTGATTGCTATCCTCTTTAGGTGAGGTGCATCAGTATCATATATCTCCCACCAGTCAGCTGCATTAAAATGCAAAAAGCATTGTAAGGGCAAAAACAATTCATAAGATTAAATATATGAATGAACAAAGTATTAGCTAGGGGATAACTTGGATCCATATTAGTTCGAGAATTCCTGTCAAGTCTAGCTCCGAAGGATCTTATAGCATCCCTATACATAGCAAGCTAAAACAAATATATTTCATTTTAGTACATTATTCCTCGCAAATATAACAACTCAATGAAGTTCTTACCCAGATATTAAATAATATCTCTTGTATTGCTGCTACTTGGTTTCGATGGCTTCTCTTCAACCTTGCAATAATGTATTTGACCCCCTCTATAATCTTGTGGGGATGTTCAAGTGTCAAATAGAAAAATTTTGGGTTGAAGTAGTAACCTAAAAAATATATATATAGAAAAATGTCATTTACAATTTAATAAAAAAATGATTTAAAATGAAACATTCTAATGATATAAATATATATTTACCAGCATAATGAATTAGACGTTCAAATTTGGTGTTCCACCTCCTTTCTATAATCTCGATCACTTTGTTAGCAAAACTACACTTCTTCCCAATAGTTGATTTCGCCCTCTTGATACCTTCATAAATGATGCCCATGGTAGCTTTCTTATCAACATCCATCATTCTTAACACCGTGACCAAAGGGGCAGTGGCTTCTACGACACTGGAACATTGAGACCAGAACCTTCTATTTGAGACTATGCCGTCCACTTTTATACCGGTACTGGACTTCGAGAGACAGTCATTTAACTACTCTTCACAGGTAAACAATATCTTTAAGGCACCTTCAGATTCCCAAATGGAGTCCACAACTAAGTAATCGGTCGAAAAGCGGGTTATGGCAGACCTGATTATCTCTTTTTTCTTAGAGTGTTCTCTAAACAGAAATAATATTTTAGAGTGGTTGTATATAAATCTCGACACCAACCTTGCCTCCTCTAAAGTCGCCTTTACAATTTTGATCTCACCGATCTCCTCTAACATAAGATCGATTCTGTGTGCAGCATATGGGGTCCACACCAGATGCTTACTCTTCTCCATCAACTTGCTGCCCATAGAAACACGTGCACGCGCATTGTCCGTAATAAACTGGACTACATATTTATCTCCTACTTCCTCCACTATCTGATTATATAGTCGTACGTGGAAGTTTGCATCCTTCTTCGTTCTTAATACATCTTTGCTAGACAAAAAAACTGTACCTTTTGAGGAATAGGCTAAGAAGTTTAAAAACACCTTTTTGCTAACTTTATTCAACCAACCATCACTCATAAGATTAATGCCTGTCCTTGGCCAACTCTGTTTATATTCTTCAATCCACTTTGTAACTTCCTCCATCTCTCATCTAATATTGGCCCACTGAGCTCATATGCCGTCGGGGGTTTTACCTCGGGCGCGGCTCTCTAGATTGCACTGACCATAGGTGAAAAATATGGGCTATTGACTGCATCAAAGGGAATCTTTTTATCGTAGAACTGTTTACCTACATATCTCCCCATCTTTCTTGTACCTTTAACCATGCTTTTTAGAGTCATCTGTTGTGAATTAGGCTTTGAGAGAAATGAGTCTATACGACCATGACCTACAATACTGTCACTCCTAGATAAATTAAGAACTATTTCTTCAACGTTTGATTCATGTTGATACATACTGCCACCAACCCCTCCATATATATTTGAGCTGGGTTTGCCATACATGCTGGACCTGGGCTCGCCATGCATGTCTAAGCTGGGCCCGCCATTCATGTCTGAGCTAGACCCATCATGTATGTCTGAGCTAGACCCACCGGGCATTCTAAACCCACGTTCCCTCTGATATTGTTCATGGAAACTCATTCTTGTGGCCATGTCCAGGTCATTATTATATTGCTCTTCCAGGTCATTATTATCTTGCACTTCTGTATCATTCCTGCTTGATAGCGTATATAAACTAGCTATCTCCTCATTCATTCTATGTTTGACAATTTTTTTACCTTTGTTAGCATTAAGAAATGCCGCCATCTGTTTTTTTACATTACTAGAAACACTACTGCATGCAAAAATATCTCCCTTAACCCCTGCCAAGTGTTGCTTGAACTTATGTACCCCACTACTTATCACTCTTTGGCAGTAATTACAAATAAGTTTGTCTTTCTTGTTGGGATCAAGTCTGACCCCATGTTGTCATGCAGGGTCTTCTGCAAATCTTGACATGATTCAACTGTTTTAATATGTAAAAAGTTAAAAATTAACCTGACAGGTCAACAAGAAAAATAATCACCATGTATAGTGATAATATGTCGGGATAGTTTATGTAGTTATATTTGTTGTTATTTGTTATTTCAAAATACTTCTATTGAGAATAATACTTTCGTACATATCAATTACAAACATACATGATAATATAATACAAAATGCAAGCTCCAAACATGGCTACAACTCAATTATCAAGAACATACATTTTTTGTATTAGGAAGTTAATAATAATATAGAAAAAATACAGGATAATACAATTGTCATATATGGCACAATTTTTTTACAATGATATTCACTTTAATTCCTCACGATAATACAATTTAACAACATGTATTTTTTGCGTTCAAAATTTTAAAAATTGAAAATACATTTTTAATGCAAAACTACATTAAAAATATAATACAGTTTTGCATTAGAATTTGGAAATACAATAACATGTATGTTTTTTGCATAAATAATCTATCAACATGCAATTTTTTCAACAAAAACTTTAACAATACAAATTAAAAATATGGTTTAATACCTCATGATAATCAAAACTTGGTCACTATTTTCACATCCTTTCGAAAAATCACGATTTTTTTAAAAAATCGATCATGTACTAAAGAAAAAACAATTCTTCACAAAGCCACCTAACATCAGTCATTCCAACTCAAAAATGCATTAACAAATTAAAAAAAAAATACAATTTTGCATTAAAAATATAATAACATGCATTTTTGTTGCATAAATAATCTATCAACATAACATTTTTTCAACATAAACTTTAACAATAAAAATTAAAAATATGGTTTAATACCTCATGATAATCAAAACCTTGTCACGATTTTCACAACTTTTCGAAAAATCATCATTTTTCAAAAAGTTTGATCATGGATAAAAAAAAAAAAAAAGTAACAGCAAATTTTAAAAAATTCTATCATGGATTACAAAAAAAAATTCGATCATGGATTACAAAAAAAAAACCAACAAATTTCAAAAATTACGATCATGGATTACAAAAATTCGAATAATGGATAACAAAAAATTCGATCATGGATTGCAAAAAATTCAATCATGGATTACAAAAAATTACGATTATGGTTACAAAAATTACGATCATGGATTCAAAAA